CCAAAACCCCCCCTACCCCCCCCCCCCCCCCCAAATAGCACCCTATCATCAAATGCTCAGAAAATTCTAAAGTTTTTTTTTATGGAGGATCTCTATGGCATGCGCAACACTTTCATATATATATATATTTTTAATGTCAAACAGTGGTTGTCCGGGATCCCGCACAACCCCCCTACCGGACGGTTGGGGGAGACGTCCGACCGAGACGTCCGGCCATCGGACGACTGGTAACCTAGACTAAAAATAAATTGTACATTGTAGATTCTTCATTATTTACCTGTTACACGTGACTCCAACAAACCAAAGAGCATCTCGCAAATTTGAACCTTGCGGCCCTAGGCAGCATCACAAATTTGCAAAACCTACTTACAACCAGCTCGTATGAAGGCATATTGTTTATTTTAAAAGCCCATGGGACATACCATTAATTTGTCATGATCCATTAAACTAATAAACACAACGTTGTTACATTAATTATATTTGAATTTCAATAAGTAATATTGTTCATCAATAAATGAAAAATCGATAACAAGTGAGCAAAATCGGCAATAAGTATGTGTGAACTACTTAAAACATTCGGGGAAAAAAAATCTCACGTTGGGTGCAAACCATGAAGGCATGTTGTCTGGAGGGTATGCGAATAAAATATATCAACAATAACAAAATGATAATTTTCTTCAAATTATCCCTTGTTTTTTTATTTTAGTTTTTTTTTTCAATATATTTTTTTTTAACTCGTGGAAGTTTCAATGACTTGCAACATTAGGATGGTCCCCGAGTTTTTGTTGTGTTATTATTGAGGTTGTTTATATCAATGAAAAGCAGCGCATGCAAATAACTTTGGTCATATATGGTATTGCTTTTGTAAAACAAGGAAGATATTTAACAAGCATTGTCTCTCCTAACAAATCACATGAGGGAATGTTTTGTAACAACGTACTAAGGACCGATGATAATGCATTGTTTTTTGTTAAAGGATATCATAAATAACACACACAATAATGATAGAGAGAGCGTGTTGACTTCAACTCAAAGTTTTGGTATTTATTGTAGTATCTTATAAAACATTCCGTAAGGGTTTGCCAATGTTATTGTGACAATTATATTGTTTTTTATTATCACAACTATTCACAACCAAATGACATAAACATTAACGATTACGATAATTTTTAATATATGATATAAGCACCTTAAAAATAGTTTGCAAGTCTTTTGTAAATGTCTCATCGAGTTTGTTAGAATGTAAGGTGGATGCACAATTAAAACATATCCACCACATAAAGAAAACGCATGTTATCAATGTCTTCAAATACCAATATATTTTTTGCGATAAAATTTATTTTTAACCGAAATATGAATGATCAATCATAATGGTCACTTTATTCATTGTTCGCAACATTGTAAACAACACAAAAAATACAGACTTAATGAAGTGGTTTAAATTGTTCTTAAAGTACTACATTACTAAGTTTCAAAATTATTTCTCATACACGGGATTAATAGACAAGTACGATTATTTATTATCACGAATCATGAAGTTCACAACACGATAAATATTTTCTTTCATAAATGTAATAATAAAACAATAAAAGATGTATAATCTAAAATAATTTAGATTCGTAATAGAGCGATCATTGCTTCTTTGTAGCAAATACATAGAAATAATATCATATTTATCAAACGCCGCTAGCATATCATATCTCATATAATAGTGATCATAAAAGATGAATTGTTATCATATATCGCATACCTTCAATCTATAAGATGATATGTTTATCATCAAAAGAATGAGAAACACGAATGTTGCAAACGGATCCACAGTTCTTAGAGATTGACGAATTAGGTACAAATAATGTTGTTAGCACTGATATGATAATGTTGTCACTCGAGTGGTATGAAATAGACGACGAAAAAATAATTGTAATCATTGGCACGACTATAAAAAAATACGTCATGTATTTTTATATGAAGCCCAACGAATTTAAACTCAATGACGCATTACATGAAAATATTATCGATAACTTAAGATTTAAACAATATTGAGTACAATATCAAAAATCATCCTGCAATGACCTACACATAAAATAGCTACATGAAGGGTTGTGATGTAGATATAATGTGATCTTCTTATTTACTTCATGGTCAAAAGATGCGTTGTAACAATAGTGTGAGGCTAATAATGGTGAAATATAATACACTTTAATGACAATGTTATTTGTTATGTATTGCTAAGGGAGTTAATAAATATTCAATAATGTATATGCATATACGCATCGGTAAAAAAAATGCATTAAAAATTTACAAAAGAGTATAAATTTATATCGAAGAATAAAAAAAATATAAAATTGTGTTATTATTAGCGAAGAGGAGAGTCCCTATAAAAAAAAAAAAAAAAAAAGTTAGAGACAATCATGATAATTTTTTTATTTATGGTA